TGCATTGTTAAAAAATTTTAAATTGGTTATGGTATAAGTTTAGTTATAATTGGCTTGCTTTTGTTAGAATGCGAAGACTTTGGAAATTCGAAAAATTTTCAGTATTTTTTGACGTAAGTTGAATTGAAATAGATGAAATGTTGTCAAAGTTTTAATTTGAGGAAGAAAATGTTAGTTACTAGTTACTAGAGTGCATGAAATGACAGTTAATATAATCAAATTCATCTGCAATCTGAATCTCGACTTGAACAATACTCAGACATTTTACTATGACTATTATTTACTGATCAGAAGTGATAAAAGTGAATCATTTATTGATCAGAGATGATAAAATGCGCAAAGATAAAGTGCGCACTCAGCAGCTGTTCCAGGTGTCTCTGAAGAGTTACCTCTTAATGACTGCTCGAACATTTGCTCCAATTTTATAAAACCTAATACCTCCTGTTTTCAAGTCCATTTCTACCCGCACTACCATAGTTATGGATCATTGTGTTACTAATGCAAATTAAAACAAGGCAATTCACTGAATCAGGAAATATTGGATTATTATTATTTTGATCATTATTATTACCGTTATTATTATTGCCATTACTATTATTATTATCATTATTTGTTATTATTATTATTAGTGTTAATATTATTTATTATTATTATTATTATTATTATTATTATTATTATTATTATTATTATTATTAATTTTACTTCACTCTATGTTATAATTTATTTTAATTGCACTCTAACCACCACCACCTCTATCGCAGCTAATTTACCGTCATCAATTATTAGGCGACTTTAACATTTCCGATGGCACCGAATCGATGATCAATATTTCAGTCAATATTTCATCATTTCATTACATGTACAACGAGAACATAGTAAGAAATGGCGAAAAACCGTTGAAATAATTGAGATTTACGTAGCTTATACATTTTGCAGATTTTTTTGGGAAAGAAATAATACTGAAATGTTTTGAGTTCTTTGGAACAGTCAGTTCTGTCTCGATTGAAGAGGAGACAAAGAAGAGGAATGTGACAGGAAATGAGAGAAGAAGAGAAAGGGACATCAGCAAATGCCATCAAATGATTTCTAACTTATTTTGGGAAGACAAATGCATGAGCGGATGAAGTCATTCTTAGTGACAACAAGTCCTGTTTCCAAGTAATTTGCTAGGGTTTTTTAAAATAGAATATTTTCATGAAGATAAGGAAGAAAAGAAATTAAAGCAATCCATAAAATGAGATATGACAAACTGTAAACTTGATTGAATGGAACTGAAAAATTTCTTTTATAACCTAACTATTTTAATTTCATTTCATTTCAAGACCAAACAAATAGATGTGGCTGACTTGTTTTTTCCTGATTGAAAGAAGTGTGAAAAAATTAATGGTGTCGAGTAGAAAATTCAATGTCAAATCAAAATCTCAATTAGCTTTTCAGGGAAAAAGTCATAACTATTGGATATCCATAAAATTTGGTTTTATGTGCAGAATATATTGTAGCATCGTGAATTTATTGCTGAAAAAATTGGAGAAAATAAGCAGATTGCATGAGGACCTAAAACTTCACTGTTTTTTGTTTAATAAGGAATTAAGCAGTAACGAATTCGTGTCAATAAACAATCTGTGCTTTGGAAGATTGATCACATTTCAAAAGCTTTTGATACTTTACGAATAAAACCAGATATTTACGTAAATTTATGCCCATCAAATGTTACATATTCATGTCATCCGTTAGAAAAAACCGAATTATAATATGTTGAGCATTTCTTGAGCAAATGTAACATAAGAAGTTATTTATCTAATATTTATTTTCGTCATGTTTGTTAACAAAGAATACGTGTTGACTGTATTATTTACAATTATCAACTCTTTGTTTACTTGACCCTTTTGCTTTTTTTGTCGGTTTCCTATAAACTGCAAATTATATTAGAATTTGACAGGGTTAACAGCACTTTGTTTAGCTAACCTGACCTCCTCTACGGTATTGTAAATGATGTGTCTTAATGCTTATTATGCAAGGAGTTATTATATTTACTGAGGTTTTCTGGATGGCAATGTAACACTCATGTTTTCGCACTATTTGCTGAAACTTTCTAATACTATTCAATAACTACGACCGATGATAATCTTTTCAAGTCAGATACTATTTCACGATATCATACAGCCATTAAGGATGGTTAATCATTCATATCAATAAGAACAAACAAATGCATAGTTTCACATAGAATCACATAGTTTCTTGCACAAAGTTGTATTTTAGTCTTTACATAGTGAAGGTTAAAGGTGATTTTATTTTAAAATAGAACAGTATCGCATGAACTGCACAGGTTTCTTGGAGCTTTTAGTAGTGAATACGATTGTTTCTAGACGGAAATTCTTTTTGCGAAAGATGTGATAAAAGAGCAGTGAAAGAACTGTGATGAAGCGAGCAAGCATGAAGCGTCGTCTTTGGTCGTAACGAGTGGCGGTACTGAAACCTAGTGATTTACAAATCCTAGTAGGTAGTGGAACATACTTAGGACGAAATTCCACGCTCACTTTCTCGCGAAACAAGCACAGTAGGACAGCAGATGTCCTTCACTAAGATAACCGCAACTAGTGACAGACATTTCCGCTCAGCGCCTCGACCGTGAGTGAGCAGAGTAAACAGGGAAGGAAAATGAATAAGTAAGACAGGTAAGGAGGACGATAAAAGCAAATGGAATAGGAAGAGGAAAATTAATCGAAATAGATTGCATGCAGTGAGATAATTACTCAATCGCACTTGCGCTCTTGCAACAGCCTGGGCAGGGTAGAAAGTCGCTACCCGAGGAAATTCCTTCCTTCGAGACCACTGCAACTCGCAGTACTCTGTAATTAGTTATTTGTCAATGACACAATTTTCTCAGTGCTCATTTGTGCACTTCTGCATAATGGATTTTCGAGTAAATTGGTTAATTAGTGCTTCATTAGTAAGTGAATGGATGAAAAAGAATTAAGGAAAGAAAGAAGATATGTGGGTAAATAAGCAATGGATGATGGATGATATGAAAGCTTAGTTCATTGCATATAACAGCCCCCTCAGTCCTCTGTTTGTCTCGAAATAATAAACTAAAATCACATAACAAATATTTAAATGATTTGCACAAGCATAATGAATGAAGAAATAATGTACAAGTAAATAAAACGATAGCAATAAACAAACGAGACTGCATAGTAACAGTAACTTTTGAAGTGATGTGAAGAAAATTGTGAATGCTAATTGCCAGATTTTTTTGAAATGCTTTAAAGTTAGTCAAATTACTTTAACAGGAAATGACGGATACAAATAAAGAGAGTATGTTCTGTTGAGTGATCTATCATAACAGTGCTTATGCAGTCAGTGGAATAGTTTGCTATTTAAATGTTGAGAAATACATTTCACGACAATTCAAATTTCATCACATAACCAAATCGACTTGTGATAACTCACAGAATGCTATTGTAATTTATGTAATGAGAACTACGGAATGTCAACGATAACGCTAAAGTGTGGTATTTTTCCACAAATTTTACTGCTATAGTCTTACATGCAGAAATGTAAAGCAAAGAAATTTAACAATGCTTTACATTAAATAATTAATTTGCAAAATAGCATTTGAGATGAAAATGACGACGACAACCAAGGGAAATCATAAATGGAAAGCAGGAAAAAAGCAAAGTTTGGTGGGAAGGTGCATCTCCTTCTCGGGAATTCGACTATTTCATTTCTTGATAGTTTCCCCTCAATGTCATGTTTACTAATGAGTGCAGTAAAAATTGATTGATTGCAACAACAACTAAATACTGCGAGGAACGGAAGAGAATAAACAAATTCATTCAGCCATCAAAGAAGCCGATAGATGCATATGTGACATGCGACACATGCAACACATGCGACACTGCTGTTGAGTTCCTCCTACAACAACAACAACAGCTCCTCTCTGCTAAATACTTCACTCACCTGTCCTACTTCACTTACCTGTCCCACTTCATTCACCTGTCCTCAATGAAATGAACACACGCTGCAGTATCTCGGCTTAGTATCGTAGCTAAGATATTAGTAGAGCTGGCGAGAAAATTAAAGTTTATTCTCACTTACTTGCCATGCAGAGAGTGCAACAAAGTTAGAACAAATCCAACCGCGAATTCTTCTCACGGAAACGCGAGAAAAGTTTGATGAAGTAAGGAATTTCGAAGCAGATGATCGAATTTATAAGCAATAGAAATGTCAAGACATGAAATGAACGTCAGTCATAAAGAAGCTGTCTTGCGATTTATTTAGCAAAACTTCCAGTTCTCATCTTCTGAACACACTGTGAATTCCGGTTGAAAAGAATGAAGCTTTCACGTTTACAGTAGTGAATTCACCGATTCGTATCTTTTCAAGTAATTAAAATTCAATAATTTTGCAATTAAGCTTAATAAAAATTAATAATTCATACCGTTTATTAGCTAAAACAGGTAAGGTTGTAATACTTTAACTCGAAGTGTTTTCAAATGACAATGATAAAAGATGAACTGAGAGTAAACTGGAAACTGTCGCTGAAAAGTGGAAAATTCATCAACGTATAGTAGTACGTAAACATGATTATTTGACGTACTATATGCAAATTACATAATGACGACGAAAAGACACTGCATGGACTATTCAACGCTTCATAAGGCAGTTGAGATAGTTCCATACTATCATATCTAATAAGAAAAGAAGGAAACACTGAAATGAGTGTCGGATTCAGTCTAAAATCTGAATGTCAAACATTTTCTGATATGCATGTTGCAAGTAAACCAGTAACTGCCCCAGCTGTTGTCCATTTTCTCCGTTTCAATGAAAATTTCTTTGAGGAAATGTTCACAGTAAAAAGTATTAATTTAAACTTTGCAAATAATATGGCATAATTCAAAAAGTTGCAGAAAGGGTGACCAAAAGATCAAAAGATGCATGTTCAGTTCAGAATTGTGCCCAGTAGTGGACTGGACTCACAGGAAAACGGCTGAAAATGTCTACTGAGTTCTGTTCTTGTCTTCACTTTCATCTTCGAGAGTACATCTTTCTCTCCGTGAGTTGCATTTGTAGGATTTGCCGAACCATTGAGGGAAATTGCAATGTATTGGTTGTATTATTCTCCTGTAAAATAGAAATTACAGTTAAAAACTTTTAAAGATTATTCAGAGATTTGCTTTAACTGAGTGTTGAACTAATTTAGACGATAATTAGAGAGAGTGATTTGAAGAATGGAGTGATCACGAACGGAACACAGAATTCTCCCAAACGAATGAGACGCCGCAGAAGTGTTTTCGAGGAGAGTATAAATAAAACTTGGATTAATTACTAGTAGCTATGAGTCATTTCGTGACGTAGTTGTCAGTTTTTTTTCTCACTGATTCTGTAATGCTTCATTAGCTCACTGACCTACAATAAAAATTAGTTTGGATATTTTTTAAGCAGTCGCAGAATAAGGTGTCGCAAGCGAGCTGTGTGACGCTGCAATCGTCATAACACTGATCATGCTTTAAGCAACAGGAATTTACTGAAAACAAAGTGAAATTGACAACTGAAATAAAATGATGCTACAAAAAGCGGTACTTCAAAATTATCTTTTCTCCCGGAAAAGTGGTCCTAGGTATATTCAAACTTTTCTTAAGCTATCATCAACCAACCACCCACTACTACTAGTAATCACTGCTTATCTCTTCTGAACTCCTTCCGGCACTTCGTCTACTTTTCAACATTTTAGTTGTCCCTCTTTGCTTCCAGCAAACTGTCATAATTAGTAGTACAGGCCGAAGCTAGAACCATCAAATCCTTTTCAGTGGCTAAATAATATTTGAGTTAAACTAATTAAATGACTGAAATGGAAATTGATTAATTTACTTAATTAAAATTGATGCATTGATACTAACTGCGATGCTGTTCGCACGGTATGGTGAGTAGTTGGGATAGGAACCGATAAAATGCATTATCAGAAGGACCGCAGTAGTACTTAGATGTCCATGAATGATGTGCGGTAATTAACAGTAGAAAGATTTTAAATATGTGATACATATTTTTAAATGCATCAACCTGAAGAAAACATAGTATAATATAATAGAAACAGAAGGCTTATTTAAATTTATATTTTACGTGGGTTTATTTTACTTATAAAAAAGCAAATTTGTTTGCTCATCAAAGATAGGTTTGAAGTAAATTCAAATTTCACTAATTTACAAGCTAATATTACTCATCTGTTATTAATTCACAATTACAATCAATCATCGTTGTTCCTACCTCTTTATTGACATTCAGCAAGATTGTTGTGATAGCATTGTTGTTATTCACTTCATCAAACACTGATAACATTGAGAATATTCTTATCTCCTTATCACAACACTTCTATTTTTATCACACTTTATTGAACTGGTAAAATAAACTAATTTTGTGTGTGTTTGGCAGTATGCCTTGGAATTTAAATGTTTCCCCAATTCATATTTCAGGGAAATATATGTTATCACTGTTCTGCACCCTCTTAGAAATTGTGATGAAATTGTCGATCTTTTATCTTTTACTCCAAACTTATTTCCTTCCTTAAATCGGCATCAAAGAAGTGAATTCTCGACTGAATCTCATGTCAGTTTGAATATTAAATGATTTGTCTCATGTCACACACACACACACACACGTTGTCTCATTGAAATTCTAATTGCTGAGTTCCTCTTCTATTAATTATTTCATTAGAATAAAGATTTAATTACCCAAATTTGATATTAAAGAAGAAAAGAATGAAAGAGGCATAAATAACCCTCTTGATCTTTGTTTCAATCAGAAAAAACTGAGAACTGTTGCCATTTCATTCTATACCAAAAGTAAGGTTCTCGACAGAATTCGGATATTTTAGGCTAGGTAGAACTTTTAAAGAAAGAAACAGTGGAAATACATCTTCTGACTCGAGAAGAAATTGAAAGTAATTGAAAATTCTCAAACTTTAAAAAGAAACAAAACTTCGGTTATTACAAAATGAAAAAAAGATATAATAAACTTTAATGAATTTTACTGAAACGGTGATGGATTGATTGATTGATTGATAAATCAACAAGAGAGGACGGGCAGAGATGAAAAATGACAACAATCAGAACTCGCCTCAATCGAATTTGAAATCCGAAAGAAGATGAGAAAGAATCGGAAGAAAAGCGATAAATCCACTGCAATGCGCTGTTGTGCCGTTCGAGCGTTGCATTGACATGATTGCTTTTTGGAAAATAGCAGTTTTAAACTGAACAAAACATAATCTTAAAACTAAAAAATTTGAAACTGATTGTCACTTTAAGTTCGAGTTTTAATCCTACCCATTTAACAGGTTTCTTTGGCAAAAATACCCACATTGGGTTATTAACTTTGTTGGAAACTTTACACAAACAATGAAGGAAGCTTAGAAGAGAATGTCAATAACAGTGCAACAAAATGAAGTGCTAAAGAAGAATAAATGCATTTTTGAGAAGTGACATTGTGAATGAAAATGAATGGCGCTGCAAACGAACGGAGAGAACGTATATACATTTAAGTAGTAGCAACATGCGAAGGTCGTTCGGCACTGAAATGTGACAAGTGACACCTTTAGCTTATCAGCAAGGAATGACCTCTGATCACTTTAGGTGTCACATACAAAGATCAGTATAGTGGCCAAGGATAAAATAATTACGTCATAGTTAAATGTTTGCTTTATTGCTGTTCTTTCGATTGATCGAATTGAACAATCATAGATTTCGAGATCTCTTTCAATCGTACATAATCACTCTATGATAAAATCAAGAGAAATCAACTCTAGGTGATATGTAAAAATCATCGTCGAATTTATTGTCAGAAAAAAAATTTAGACAAACGGTTGGGAGTTGGGAGCAATGTTAGAATGAAAAAAAAAAAAAAGAGTTAATCACTGACTGGAATGAAATCTGAAGAAGCAGGCAGGCATTCAGATTTCCTTAGAAAGTCATTGTGTCGATAACCAGGGCAAGAGTTGCTGGATTTATTACCCACCTGCAAATTTGCTACCCACATAATTGTGGTATGTCAAAATGGAACAAAGGCAACAAAGTAGACCAGGTAAACAGTCCTGAAAACATAATAACTGAATTCGGTGAAATATCGTTGCTAAGAATGAAGTCCAAGCAGTCTTCGAGACTGAACATTTTTTTTTTTTTTTGTTCTATTATTCCTCGGGTAACTTGATAAGTTTCTTTAAACATATTTCTTGCGTTCTATGATACCTCAGATAGCTCGACAAGTCGGAATGGAAATAAATCCGGCTTTGTTTCAAATTTCAAATGATTTTCACTTCACGACACTTTTTCTAGATTAAAATTTACGGAAACGGTAATGTACATCATGCTAAACATATATCATTCATTCACTTCCAGTTTTTGGGAAAGGAATACTGGATTACGGATAAAAAAGATTGTTGGATTAATCATTTCGAACTATGTAACAAAATATTTATCTAGAATTTACAATTATGACAGCTGTTATTATAAAATTGGCAACGATTAGTAAAAAAAAAAAAACCAATAGATTCTAATATTCAATTTCACAATCGTTTTATTCCGAAATTTTGAAATACCAATTTCTGCCGACTGTAAGATAAGATGACGACTGCAGAAATCACCAGCAGCACACCACATGTCAGCACTGAAGAAAATTTGAAATTACAGCATAAATGAATGAGTATTTGCTATGAAACTATTTACCCTGTTTAATTACTACAAATACTACTACTATTACTACTACTATATAGTGTAAATATATCAAATGGTATGGAAATAGGAATTTATAGAAAGACAAGCAATTCTTGAATTCTTGAAATTCTGCCTGCTGAATTATTGCCTTCGTTTTTTTGAGTATAGGAAAAGTTTTAGAAAGCCAATGCTGAAGAAAAGTGAGTTTCCAATTGACTGCTCTTTATGAATAGCTGCTGTTGCTGCATTTTCATAAATGACCACTCCCATCTCATACTGCCATCCATTCATTTCAGAATATCATTTGTCCGTTGAATTTAAATTATGTTTCCATGCTAAGTGTCATTTTACTCGCATTTCAAGAAATATGCTGCATTCCGAATAAATTAGTGAAAATTTCCATTCGACCAGTGAGCAGCTGTAAGATGTTTTTAACCATTTCCAAAAAGTGTGATCATATGAAGCAGTACAGTAGCAAGATAACAACAAATATAATCATTAAAAAAGATGAAAACTAAGAACAGAATCACTGATGCCACACCATTAATTACTACTGATTTTACTGAAGCATTATGCATGCTAATACAATAAAATCTCTCATCAAATACAAACTTCAGCAATCGTCTGAGATTCACGAGAATAAGCATTTGTGAGTGATTCATTGGTCCAAAATGTTCTCATTGATGCATAAAGCAAGCCGTACTCTATACCTATTTCATGCTTTATTCCCTCACTTCAATAAAGCTTACCTTCTCATATGGATGAAAACGATGCTAAAAGAAAAGAGGAAATGAACCTTGCTACAGTAACCGGAACACATTACAGTATCTCGAAGGGTGTATACAGCATACCGTAATGTAAAATGATATTTGACATGGCCAACTATATTACAAATGTCAGTAATAGAAGCCACAATAATAAATAATGGATTGTTGCTGAAATAATTGAGCTAAAGAAAGGAGAAATAGCTTTTTTAGATGATTCGTTTATTCGTAAGAGCAGATTAAAATGAAACTAATTAAAGTAGAAACTCTTCTTCCTAGTTTAGTGTGCTAGCTTCTCCATTAGATCCATAACTTTGACCCTGAAAAAGACAGTTGACAGAAATGTTCTCCTCTCTGAAGCAGTGTCATCAGTTTTCAACACCTGCCTACTACAATATACAGAAGTTAGGAGGTGGACAACTCGCATATTTGAAGTGACCACTGTCCCCCAGTACTAATTCTATATGTGCATTCATTCAACACTTCAGAATATATGGCCAAGAAGTGACAACAAAGTCAATTGGAGCATTTAACACTTAATCAGCACTGCTGGAAAAGATCGAAATGCTTCATCTCATCTGTCAAGTCTTGATGTTTGCCGACGACAGACCAGAATTTCAGGATGAAATATCATAAGTAACCTTGCTGAGTACCTCTGCGTTGACAACAAAGGAGAAGTCTTTCTTTGATGACCCTTTCACAATAAATCCCATCTTTCAAAGCAATTTTAACGGATGAAAAGGACAATCTTTCTTCAACATTGTAATAGCCTTGTATTTTTAATAAACGAACCGTTTCCCTGAGAGCCTAATTAATTACTGAATGAAAATGGATGACTAAACGATTGACACTGTGGTACTACATTCGGAATCGTAATGCTTGCACATAAAAAACTAGAAAAAAATCCGCATTAGGAGATTCATTACACTGAATGCTTCAAGTAATGCTGTTAATAATTGTTATGATAGCAAAATTTCTGCATAACTCAACTTATACCACTCTCTCGACTCCGTTTCCGAAAGCACAAAACGGTTACGGTAATTTAGCATATATGCAGATATAAGTAGAAGTAGTGCGTTTTAAGCAGCTATTGTCTAATATCATCAAACGGAAAGGTACCAGCTTTAAAATACAAATGTGGAGAAGTGATGAAAGGATAGAATTAGCGACAAAGTTGAACAGAACAGTTTCTTACACTAACAGCCAATTTACCTATGGAAATCCAAATCCTCTACGCACAACAGTTACTTACTTATCTGCAAAAACAGGAATTCATACAGCTATTCCTGAATTCACAGCAAATCCTATTCCTGTTAACCGTTTAAGAAAGCCTTTATAATCCTATATATAACAACCATTTCCATTTCTCCCAATAAACGAGTCCCATCCAATGTATGCATAAATACAGAATGATTGTTGAGAAAAGTTTTCTAGATTTGCCCTGTCAAAAACATATTTCCAATGTTCCTTTTGATCTTTATTCTTCTCTCTATCTGTCACAAGCACTTCATGATTTCTTACAAAATAATTCTTTACTTTTGATCTTTGTAATTTTTCGTTCAAACTTTGAGTAGTAGAGAACCTTTTCAAGGTTTTAGCAGTAGAACATTTATATTTCTCAATTTTGTATCATTAATATAGAAAGAATTTTCTCTTAATCAGCACTGTACAAGACGCTGTCAATGATGATCGTATCAAATAAAATCTTACAAAAAAATAAAAACATTTTCTGAATTAACTGCAAATATACAACAAAAAATAACCTCATAATCTTACAATTAATAAAAACTCCACAATATACTTTTTAATCTGATAGAGTTTAAAAAAAAAAAAAACCAAGATTAAATAGCTTTCGACATCTGTTATCTCAAGAAAAATTTTCTTTTGGAGCAAAAAAAAAAAAAAAAAAAAACAAACTACACTATTAAAAAAATTGGAAATCTCATTGGCTTAGACTGATTTCTTTCTCAAATTCATACCATGATTAGCCAGATACAATCACCCAGGACACCAAATCATACATTTATATATAATAACAAGTGCCATCAATTAGTGATGAAACAGATAAATTAACCAGACTGAACAAGCTGTTCTCTACGAAATCGCTTTAGATGTCTGCAACTGTGTTATAAACACTTAACAAAATCAGAAATATGGTAAAATGACAATTATTAACAACGTAGTCGTCAGTTATTTTATCATCATTGTCATTATTATCATCGTTATAATCCGGCTGACATCTGGATTTACAATTTTATCAGAATTACCAGCTAATAACAGTACAATCAACATATCGATTAAATGAAGATTCCTAGCATTTGATATCATAGTCTCATTGAGGAATCCGATTTACAGATGAATGGGAATGCGGTTATGCCATTCCCAGTATATAATTACATAAAGAGCATTCTGACTTATTGGAACTAAAAAAGTATGTTAGCACAAGTTTCACAACGTTTAACCCTATTATGGCAACGCTTACTGCATTCCTAATTCCTTAATTCAGCAAAGTTTTCTAAAATCTTCCGCTGTATCGGCGTTATGTTGCAATGCTTACAGATACGATCCACTTCCGACTTCAAATTTTCTGACAGTGAATAGAGTGCCATAATTTGTAAACAACAGCTTGCATTATACCAGTTGCCTTCATTCAGTGCTTCTTGCATTAGTGAATTCAAAGTTTCGCAATTCGGAGATCCTGAAATGGAAGAATATCAAAATCGGTAAAATTATAAAATTAGGATAACGGATCATGAATGAATTTTATTTGGTATAATGAATATAAAAATGGTTAAAAACAAATTTTAAATAACACATACTTTCATTGCTAACTGTTGCAGCTTCACCTTGCTTCGCTTCTTCATTTAACAACAGAGCTAGGAATTTCCATGCACGTTCTCTCTCATCCAACTTCATCATCATCAACGACATATCTGCTATCTGTTATAGATAAAAATGATACCATTAAAAGCAGGAGATTTTCGATATTATTACACACAATTTCTCCTAAACTAGTGCTCTGATAGCTGCTAACATTCAAACATCAGGAAAAAAACTTAAACTTCAAGACAAACTTGAACGTTTGAATTAAAATTTAAATCGTTTCCAAGAAAATAAAACTTACAAAATCAGACTCCAACTTTTTTTGAGTCTTTTGCAAATACTTCACTTCCGAAAACCGGCTTATTTCTACAAAAATATCAACAATTTTGATAACTAAATCGCGGAGCTCTTCTCTCTGTTCCATAGTCATTTTCTAAAAAATAGCATTTGTTATTCCAATAAAACTATGCTCCTGATGTTGAAATTTGAAGCATGTAATTTTTTTCCAGGAACAATTAGATCGAATTTTAAAGGCTGAAACCTTCAGAACTAACTCAGTGATTACAGAACATTTCTGGCAGATCTAGCTGCACAATTCAAACAGTAAGAAAATTGCTTAAGCATAGTTCATGAGCCAATTTAAATAAATATTATAATGAAACACACACACACACACACACACACTGACCTTTAAATCCATATTAAGCAAATAAATGCGCAATTGTTGATTTAGATGCGGTCGTAAAATATGTCGACTTGTAATAAAATCTTCAATCAATCTGCGAGAGAATAACCATGGTACATTCCTTTCGGTCTGAATGCAATTGCCAGATTCAGTATGCTTCGCAAGTAAAAACGAAAATTTCTACTCTAAATTTCTTTTAAATTTTGGATGAAAGAATTTAAAAATTCAATGATCATTTAGAATAATTTGGCAGTCTGATAAAAACTAAAAAGTCTGCAATAGTTTTAATCCGGGATTATTCTATCAAACCTGCAGTCTTCGAAGCATAATCATCGCCAAATTGCTGGACAATGGAACAGCTCGTGGGACCAATGACATATATTGTTTTTCAAGCTCTTGCAAAGATAACTGATTAATCACAATGCGCAGGTATAATCCATAAAATCTTGAAAAATAATAATGGAAAAATGTGTTGGAAGATTAGATAAAAAAGCATAACCTAATACACAATTATCTCTTGTGAAGACAGTCATTCCAAACGTTTATCGAGAATGCTAACAGGTACTCAATATTATCTAGCCACTGCTGTTTGCTGCACGCTCCATGCCAAAAAGGAGTTAGTCAAGAATTCATCATTTACTTTAATTAAACGACTGCTTGAAACCTCGAGATGC